CCGGGGGCGGTCTGAGCTGGGCTGCCTGCGGCGTAACGCTGTGCTCTGCTTCTTCCCTCCTCTAGGCCCGAAGGGACCCCTTTCGAGGACGGTAAGTGTACCTACGTGTGGGTCTGGTGTTTGGCTTTCTCGGGGTAAACTGCTGCAGTTTGAGACGGCCGTGGGTGTCACTGCCGTGGGCTTTGCAACAGGTGTGGGCCTGGGGCTGGAAAGGGGGCGTGGGTGCGTGTTCACCTGGCCGTGCATCCGTGTGCTGCATCCAGGGTTTATGTCAGTATATTTTTTCTGGTTTTTTTTTGGTTGAGGTTTTTTTTTTCCTTCTCCAAGAAAGTGTTGTAGATTTACATTGGTATGTTGATTTACAGAAACATACAAAGTACCTTGTAGGGACTTGCTCATAATTGCTAAATGTTACTATCGTAAACCTAATTTAACGTACCACTTTAAGGATCTCCAGGCTTTTCTGTTGAACGCTGGATCGTGTTTTTAGGGTCACTCATATTTGGACAGCTGTCAGAAACCTGGCATAGAACTGTTGTTACTTTTTTTGAGTTCTGTTTTTTCTGATGCTGGAAGCGTTTTGTGAGTAAGTCCCAACGTGAGTCAGCTGAAGTAGGAAATGGGCTGAATGCTTGAGGAAGTTCAGAACAGATTTCTTTCTGTAGGTTGTTGGGTTTTCTTTTCTTGGCATCTACTTCACTGATACAATTGGTAGCATTCAGAGTTAAAGATTAAAAGAACTTTTTAACTTTAAAAGCTGACTAAATAGGTCCTCGTAACATACGTATGTCCTGGTAGTTTCTGTCTGGCCTTATTATCTTTTATAGCTTTATTGATGCTGTATGAATATTTTAGCATCTTTGTGAGAACTTGTTGGACATGAAATACTGTCTAAGTGAAATCAGTGCTGCATTCTTTTTTTTCAGATACTTTTAGTGCAGGCTGTAATTAATCGGAGATCTCCATGACTCATGATAAAAGCATAGGAAAAATGCCTTAACTCTTATGTTGTTCTTGGCTAACTCCTTTGTGTTTATCCTCAGAGGTAGCACCTGTGGGCGTGCCTGTAAATTGCAGATTTTTTTTTTCTTGTGAAGATTTTAAATATTTCAGGCCTAAGAAAACTCTGAAGACTCTTACATTTTTTTTATAGTATTTGATTAGTTAAGAAACTTGCTATAGTAGCTGCTTCAGAAGTCTGATGTTTAGAACTTGAGTATTCTATATGTTGCATAATGGTAGACCAGATGTGTTCTGTGTAAACCTTAAAGAAGGGCTCCCTTAAACTTCTTTGAGGGTTGCTTAAGCTACTCTGGGTTTTGGTGCACTGCCACTAAGGAATGATTCGCTGTTCGGAGCAGAAAGCCATTTCCTTGCAGTGTGCTAAAATGCAGGTTGTGTCCATGTTCAGGCTCTTCCAGCTCAGTGTGGGGTTAACAGATGCTATAAGGGCTTTTTTTCCCATATATTTCCGTTTAGCTGCAGGTTGCTTTTGAGAGCCCTGACATCCTGATTTCACCTGTGCTTTCCACTGTGGCAGCGTTGCGTTTTTATCTCAGATACTTAGGACACATTGCGCTCAGAGCAGTTTGAAGTTCAAAGAGATGCTGGGGTCTGCGACTGCTGTCCTGCTGCTTTGGTTGATCTAATAATACGATCTCGGTGTGTGATGGATTGCTCTTTTCATAGCAAAGTGTGTGTTTTCACAGTATGCGCTCAGGAAAACAGATCGGTCTTGTGTTGCAGGATGTGCTTATCTCCTTTTCTCTGGGACATATCTTACGTTGTGCTAGATAACAAAATACTAAGTGGTGCCTGGAGATACGGGTGTCTCGGTGCCTCAGCTGCACTTTCCCATTAAGTGAGCATAGTAGCACAGTTCAGATAACGGTAACATGGGTCAGATGCAGTTTAGTTTAATGTGGGTAAAATTAAGGGAATTTTCGTTTGCAGTATTGAGCTGTTCGTTTGGGCTTGGTTGTGAGTCAAAGGTGCACTGGAGCTCTGTAATCCTTCTCATGAAGCCTTTGTGGGGCAGTGTTCTTCAGAAGTCGCTTTGTAGTTGCGTTTTTAGGCTCTGTCACTTCCTGGTGATTCTGCAAGGCTTCAGATACCTCAGTTCCTGTGAAAGTAGCCTGTGAATTTCTTTTGTTGTTGTTGTTGAAGTAGAGTTGCAATAATCTCAACATTGTGGGAATTATTGTTCTTTATCCTCGTTCTGGTGAGGCTGTTCTCCAGTCTCAGCGTCTGAGGTTTCTTAGCTGTGTCTGAACTGAAAACTTCAAGTTCAGCCATGTGTGCGTGCTTGCTGTGCAGCATAATGCAGCTAACAGCCCGCCCTCCCCGCCGCCCCCAGACTCTGGAGGGTGTTTTCACAACTCGATGCACAGGCTGACTCGGCCTAGGAGCAGCTACTAATTTAGATCAGCAGCATAACTTCCATCTTCTGCTTTAAGAGGATTCGATTGCAGGTGTCTGCAGTAGGACCTCGGGGATATTTATCCTGCCCTACACCTATTTCTAAGAATCTATATGTGTATGGCATCTAAAGTGATGGTGCTGCCACAGTGATGGAAACTGAGGCTCTCCCAGTCTTTCAGACGCATTGCTCTGAAACTGGATGATGATATCGTGGTTAGTGCAGGATTCCTGGCTTAGTGAGAGTTAAGTAACACAGCTGTTGTAGTGTCCTGCCTGTCCGTGATGGTGCAGGAGGCTTGAACAGAGGAAGCAAGGCAGTTGCCTTCTGCATGGTTTGTTCCTTGCTTGTGGCGTAGGGGTTCTGTATCCCCATGTGGGAGAGGACAGGATCGTCCCTGTTTCATAGACAGTGGAATAAAGGGGGCTGCTCTTGCTCCTTGCAGCAAGAAGAGCCTGGCAGGAACGTGGGTGCTGCTCTGGCAGGGGTTACTTGGGTCAGCGCACAGGTCATGGAACAGCCTCCCTGTTAGCATCCTGAGGTAGGAGAAACAGATCACCACGGTACGTATGTGTGAGAGAGAAGAGAATGTTCTCTTAGGGCCATTGATGATCCTAATATCAATAATGACAGCGAATATGATAATCTGTCTTTTAAGATTGGCTGTCTAGGGTAAGTTGCAAGGAATAGCAGTTGAAAGCTTTCAAAAAAGTGTCAGAAGAAGTTGGGCACCGAAAGCCTCATCCCCAGCAGTGTGTGTTGTGATGCCTGTTTCACTTGTGTGGGCTTTCAGTGTGAGTGACCCTTGGACTTTGGATCATCGAATCTCTGGATTTGTCCTTTAATAAAGCTCAGCAGCGAGGTGTTGCATACTGTGGAGCTCTTGCAAAGTGGCATTGCCGCTTTGGGTTTTGGCTTGTGAATCTGAGTAGGTAGATACTCCAGCTGGGAGCTGTCTAACCACTCCCTCAGATCTGTGTTGAAAGTAATGCTATCCTGTCCCTGGTGATCAGAGAGCTTCCCTTCCTTTCTGTGGCTTTAGATGGATTCTAAGACCCTTCTCTGCCCTTGTTACTACTTTATGACCACCTTAGCAGTCCCCTCTGCTCCCACTTAGGTGTTCTAGAAAAGCATTAATTTCTCAAGTACGCTTCTTGAACTCTGCTATTTGATGGTTTGTGCCTGGTTTTCAGCCTACTGCTTGCTTAATCACTCTTCCAGAGAAGGAAATGCCTGCTTTTCTTGCCTCCTAGGGAGGCTGCTGAGCACCAGAACTGGAGCAGGGAGAGCTGGGAATCTCAAAGGTTTAGAATCAAATCTAAACATTCGATTGTGAAGGGCCAGTATTGCTTGGGGTTGTCACTGTGTAGGGAGGAAAGGTGCTCCCGAGCTGATGTTTGCAGCCAGTAGAAGTTGTTAACGAACTTTCCAATTTTGGCTTTCAGTCCAATCTCGGATCTGGTGCTGTGCCTCTAGATTAGCTGGAGGAAAGCTTGGAAGCCCCACTGCAGACTTCTGCTAATCTGATCAATCTTTGCTATTCTTGCTCCTCTGGTTTTACAGTAAGATAGCATGCTGTTGGCTCTCTGCTCTGACGTTGTTAGGCCGCTAATAAATAACAAACGTGCAAAAACTTATTTTTAGCACGCTGATACTTGCCACTGCTGTGCAGAGAGCTCTGAAGCATCTGTACTGTGTCTTTGTATGCACACTGGAACATCAAAGCAGTGACCTTCATTTCTTGCAACTCAGTGTTACAGTTTAGTTCTTATAAAGGAAATTTATAATTTCCTGGGAAATGCTGCAGGTTCTTGCAGATCTGAAAAAAAAAAGGAAGAGGGATTGAAAAACTCTGTTCTCTGGCCACCAACTGTTGGTGCATGTTTGCCAGCCAGGTGAAGGAATGCATTAATTATAGTAGTGCTGGAAAACTCCCTCACAGTAGCATGCAAGGATGAGCTTTAGATCTGAGCCCCAGAGTTTAAATTTGGGGACTCGGTGTTGGCGGGGAGGGGGAACTGTCACTCGTATGTAAGAGTGCCTGTTCAGAAACAGTAATGTCTGCCCTGGCAGCTTGTCACAACTGTTGCTGTAAGGTACATGCCTTTTACAGGAGAGCTATGTATTTATACATATATGAAGGTGCTTCAGGTATTTCTCTCTGGGCATACCCAAGAACTTAATAAACTGCGTCCTGGATTGGCTGGTCTGGGGCAATAGCTCCTGTGTTTTGAAGTGCAGAGTGTGGAGTTCCTTAGTTACTGATCCGAATTACAAGTGGTGCTCAATCCCTTGGACCTGTCTTCATGCAGCTTAGTTGGTGACTTCTCAGATTGTCACAGCCTGAGGAGAAGGGCTAAAATAACTTGTGTTGGTGCGGGCTGTTAAAATGGTTGGGTTGGGACTTTACACAGTTCTGTTTCTGCTTCATGGGCTCTTGTCAGAGGAAGACTAGTTAGTGTGAAGTAAATAACCAGATTTTTGTTTTAAGTGTCTGGTTTGGGTGCTGCTTTCAATACTGCTTTTTTTACAAGATCTGATTACCTTACAGCTGTGGATAAGAATGTATTTACTTGAAATGTAAACAGGAAATAAACCAGAAGGTCCTTGTCAGGATGGCATATTCCAATCTCTAGGACTTACTAAACTATGGCCTGTTACACAGATGGTTATACACCCACTCGTGTTGATTTTATAGTGCACTGGGATTAGGCTTTGTGGAAGGGCAAATTTATTTCCTTAAACAAATCTTTTGGGGCGGTGGTTTTAGCAATAAGTGTAAGTCACAGAAGAAACTCTCATACCAGTACTGTCTAGGATTCCAGAGTTAAAGATTAACTCCAGGAGCAGAAGAATCATTGTAGGACTGAGCAGTCTGTATTCCTTATCCAGCTTGTGTGTATGAGCACAGTAACTCTCCGTTTGCGCTTGTGGAGGGATGCTGCTTACTCATCTCTTGTGTAAATTCATGCTGAATAAAGGTTACTTCTCTTTCAACTCCAGGAACTTTCAAACTTACAATAGAATTCACGGAAGAATATCCGAATAAGCCACCTACTGTTAGATTTGTCTCTAAAATGTTCCATCCGAATGGTAAGTACTTAGACAGTGCTTTGTTTTGGTTGGTTGGTGGTGGGGTTTTTTGTTTGTGTGTGTAGGTGGTGGTTGGTTGGTTTTGGTTTTAGTTTTTTTTTAATAGGCTGCCATAGTGCTCTAGAAAAAGGTCTGGTTATTATAGAAGTTTCCTCTAGCAAATAAGTTAGCAAAATTCCAGTGTGGTTCTACATAGTTTTGGTAGGGATGAATATGCGAGCAGTGCTTGGGCTTGAAATGAAAGGGGCAATGAAAGCAGCCTCTTACCTTTTGTGTGTTACCACACAGCATGGATGAGAAGCTTTTCTCTCTCAGCTGCCTGTTGTTAAACCTTATGGAAGAATTTTGTACTCAGATAGCAGTGCCTTGGACATTTGTCTAAACATATTGCATACACAGGATAATGGCATTGCTGAATGCGGTCATCTTAGCACTTTTCTGCCCAAAAATGCCTCTAAGAATGACAGACATTGAAATGTAGTGCTAGTTTCCAGCTATGTAGCCAGTGATAATATCATTTAATTAATCCCCTTCCTTGGTAATTAAAGATGTATTCCTTGCCTCCAAACAAATACTAGATTTGTGAAGAATCACAGAATGTCAGGAGTTGGAAGGGACCTGGAAAGCTCCCCCAGTGCAACCCCTGCCACAGCAGGATCACCAGAGCAGTCACACAGGAACACGGCCAGGGCTTTGGGTGTCTCCACACAAGGAGACTCCACAACCTCTCTGGGCAGCCTGGGCCATGCTCCATAACCCTCACACTGACAGACTTTGGCCTCATCTTCAGCTTGAACCTCCTGTGCTCCAGCTTGGGACCATTGCCCCTTGTCCTGGCATTGGCCATCCCAGAGCAGAGCCTGGCTCCTTCCTCCTGACACTGCCCTTTCCCAATGGATCCCCAGGAATGAGGGCACCCCTCAGTCTCCTCTGCTCCAAGCTCAAGAGCCCCAGCTCCCTCAGCCGCTCCTCAGCAGGAGATGCTCCACTCCCTCCAGCATCTCTGTGGCCCTGCTGGACTCTTTCAAGCAAGAAATACCTGAAACTTTCAAGTGTAGCAAGCAAGCATATGTGGGTGAAGTGTAGTGGAGGGAGCTTTCTCTAAAGCTGCTGTGAGACAGGCACTGACTGTTGTAGGTACTTTCTGGGAAAGCCTTGTGTGTGAACAGCTTTTTGCTCATGTTCTGTAATTGGTTCCCTTGTGGGTAGTTTTAATTTTTTTTTTCCTTAAAATCTATTAATGTTTTTTAGTCTGTTCTGTAGTGGTAGTTGCAGTGTCGCAGAGGATCGATGTTGAAGAATAAGCAAAGGTTGAGTTTAAATCCCTCGGGCAGCTGTTGGTGACAAGCTTCACGTCTTCCTACCTACAGGCTTGTTTGCTGGGCTTAAGTCTGTCAGATGCTTTTGATTTTTGTAGTGTTTGTCAGTGCATGGGTTTTTGAAGGTCAGGCAATAGTAGGAAAAAGAACTGAGTAGCTGTACAGCTTCTGTTCTAAGCCCTTCTTCTTGAACCTTTTCTAGTCTATGCAGATGGTAGTATATGTCTGGATATTCTTCAGAATCGTTGGAGTCCTACCTACGATGTCTCCTCCATCTTAACATCCATACAGGTAAAAACATCTCTGCATGAAAAGGCAGAGTGAAACTAGGATGCTTGGACAAGCTTGGGAAACACTTCTTACCCCTGATACCCCTGATAGCCAGGTACAGCAACTGTGCTTGGCATTTGGTGCAGTATCAATACTTCCTAGACGTAAAGGGCCTGGACAGTGACAGTGGGTGTCACTGAGGGGACCCAGCCTGCGACTGCTCCGTTTGGCTGTCAGTCGAGCACCACCAGCAGTAAGACTGAGAGTGGAGGCTTCCAGTGAGTCACAACTGGAGCAACGCAGTGCGCCCAACCTGTGCCTCGGTTGACTTCTGCACTCCTGTTACTGTGGATAGCTTTAGGAGTATGTTGGGAAACTGCTTACTGCCAAGTGCCTAAGAATCTTTTTCTCTTTGCGCAGTCTCTACTGGATGAGCCAAATCCCAACAGTCCAGCAAACAGCCAGGCAGCTCAGCTATACCAAGAGAATAAGCGGGAATACGAAAAACGGGTCTCTGCAATAGTAGAACAGAGCTGGCGTGACTGTTGACCCAGGATGATGCAAATGAACACTCTGTTGATGAGGAAAATAAACAAAGTGTCCGAGTCATCTTTTTCCTCCTAGCATTTACTTTGAAAGCAGAATAGCTGTTGTGCTGTTGCCACCCTCCCCTGCTGAAGCTTCTCCTCCTTGGACATCAGAAAGCACCCACTTTGAAGTCAAGTGTTCTGTACTTGGGTTACTTGCAAAAGAGTTACTGATGCTGAAATCATTTTCTGTGGTCCCTCTCCAGTCTTAGGGCAGTATTGTGCATTTCTGTAGTGTACACTAAGCTTTTAATTGTAATTGTGTTATACACAGTGATGCTTATGTGTAGCTTGACAAAAGGGATGTTTATATACATACACATTTTTTAACTGGTATTAACTAAAGTGCTGATCTGTCCAGGCTGGTCATTTACCTCTATTGGTTTAGACCCCACTGCATTTGTAAGTACTGAGTGAAGAAATAACCTCATGTTTCCCTTTTGTATTGGTTTATCAGCTCCTTACTCATGGGGGAAAACAAACAACAAAACTCTTAAATTGATTCCAATTAAAATACGTTGTGAGATGGTGCAATGCTAGTTACTTCTGCACTTCACCTGCAAGATTTATGTACAGGTATACATAAATCACTACAGTTGTGGTACTCTAAGGGTGAGAAACAACCCGCCTTCTTTTTTAATTTTATTTTAAAGGACATGCCTACAGAGGCTGCTTCAGTTGCAATCGTCTGTCACTGAGGCATTGCTGCACAACGCAGGCAGAGCTGTGGCACCGTGAGGCAAGGGCCTTCCACACTGAGGAAGAGGTAGCACTCCTGCAGTGTCTGTCTCCCACCCCTTATCTTTAGCTGAGAAAGATAAGTTCTTTGGGTTTCAGCTTTGCCTTGTGGAAAGTTTTTGGATCAAGTCTGGGGTGGGCACTGGAGGCTGCAGTTTCTGCTCGTTGTCGATTACTTTGCGGTTTGTGTGAGCTGCTGCTGCATGCTTGAGTTTAGTTTCCCTTCAGTTTTATGAAAGTATTTTTTCAACTCTGAAAAAAACATCTGTAAGGCCAGACTCATTCTTTTGTAAGGCAAAGTTTGTATGTTTGGATACAGTACCTGAAGCAGCAGTGTGGGATGAAACCTACCATTGTGTTGTCCACTGTTCCAGTGTCTTTCGTGTGCACATTGGTCTGTTAGTTGAGAAGTTTAACTTTGCACAAGTAACCCATGTAAGAAACTGTACATTTTTCAAAAGTTGTAAATAAAGTGTAACCTTAGTGCTTATTGTATAAATAGGCAAGAAGTGTTTAACTGTGGTTATTTCAGTGGGGGTGGCAGGAGTCTCCCGTGGGATCAAGCACCACGTACCCAGCAGGAGCTGAACCCTCTGTGGCAGCTGTGCCTGGGTGGAAGCTGCCCCAGTGGTGGTGTGGGCATCAACCTCAGCCTGGGAGGTGCGGGGGTGAAGGAGGAAGGCCAGGCTGGGCTCCCTGACGAGCAGAGAAATGGAGAAACGGACACAAATCGTGGCAAAAACAAGAAGAAAAGAAGCTGCAGGAAGCTCAGCACAACTGCTGACAAAACCAAAAGCAGCCTCTGATAATGAGTTGGTTACAGGAACTCAGTGGGCTCAGTAATGAATGATACAGACACCATGTTTATTTTCCTCCTGCCTTATGATTGGGAGTTCAAATGACTGACATGTAACAGGAGCTGGTGCTGCTGCTTAGTTCTGTGACTGAGGTAAAAGCTGCCAGGCTCTTTCAAAAAAATTAAATGGGGATTTGTATCTGCTGTGCTGACAGCTCAGACCCTGTCTCACATGGACCAGTGCCTTTCTACCCCCGCTGTCCTGCCCACCTTACACCTGCTGGCTTTCCTAACGGGCAGTGTGGCTCCTGTACAGAGAGGGCAGGACAGTGAGGCTGCCTTGAGCAACCCTGTGTTTCTTAAGCGTTCCCTCTGCAAAACTTGCCCAGGTCAGAGGCAGCCAAGCCGTGAGCACCTTGGTTGCACTGAGTTACAGACAAGTGGAAAAACCAAAACACAACCCCCACCACCTGCATGGAAAGGAAAACTGGACACCCAAGAGCACCTTACCCACTGCCCCTGTACAGCTGTAACGATGGCTGCAAGCAGGACCCCCCCCTTGCTGAACGGCCCAAGTCGTGCAAATGTCAGCGAAGCCCTCAGATCAGTCCTGGTTTTGTATTTGTCTTGCTAGTCACTGGGAAAAAAACAACAAAAATTGATGGGGTGAACTTTCAAGGCAACCAGAAGCAAGAGTAACACAGAGCTGAAATTAAAATAGAAAATAATTTAAAAAAAAAAAATAGCTCACCTGCCTTGCTCAGCATCACCAAGCCTTGAGGACCTGCCGCACATCCAAGTCAGGGAGAGGGAGCTGCGCTCCTGCGTGCGGGAATATCAGCCTAAAGTGCCGGGCTTCTTGCACGCCTACAGCACCATCTGCTCGAGCCCAGCACTCCTGAGAGCAGAATTCAGCAGCAAAGAGGGAATGGCACACAGACAAAAAACAAAAAAAACCCCACCAAAACAAACAAAACAAAACAAAAAAAACCCACCTCAAACAAGACGACCAAAACCCCAACGCACTTTCAGAATTAACTGCCAGGTCAATTTTTTTAATTTTTTTTTTTTTTTTTCTACAAAGCAGCACGTTTTTCAAGCCCAGTGTCCAAGGCAGCAGATTTTGTGCTGCAGCCACCCGGGCAAAGCCGGCGAGGGAACGGCCGTGCTCCTCTTCCTGAAGGAGCCTGTGCTGCCAGCACAGCCTCTGCCCTTTCACGCTGGTGATGGCGATGCCTCTAACTGCACATCACAGGGATATTCTGCTCCATCAGTAGAGGTCAGCCACACTGTCCTCCACACTGAGAGAATTTAAAACAGAAACCGGCACAGGAGGCTAGAAAAATTAAAAAAAAAAAATAAATTTTGATGATGTAAAAACATGGAGAGACAAACAGGTAGCAGGAAAACAAGCAATAGCTGAGACACAAGCCCATGGGAGAATAAAACAGCAAATGTAAATATAAATAAAACATCAAAAAATAAGAAGGTTCCATTAGGATGAGCTTTATGCTACAGCATCATCACAAAAAAACAACAAAAAAAACACAAGGAAAAAAAAAAAACCCCTAAACCCCCACACTGCAGCACCTCTCACATCTCACTCTTGGCTCCTCCAAGGTCAGGTCCCAACCTCTGTGCTCTCCAGGCACAAAGCGAGCACAGCTCCCAGCTCCCCATCCGCAGCACTGCACAGGCAGAGGCTGCAGTCCCGGCTGCCCCAGTCACACCACGCGTCAGAGCAACACCAGGGAGCTCACTCCTGACGTACGGGAGCACAGGTACAGCGATGGGGCAGAGAACAATGAGCCACAGATCTGATTTTGCTGAGGATTAAAGAGCTTATATTCAATGTACAAAAATAAGTTATGCAACAGTCCCCACAAGCGTCTCTGAGCGTGGGCTCTGCCGTCACTGCCGGTCGTTACATTTCACACCTCACCGTGGTATCTGCACGTCACGCAGCGCTGCGCAGTGAAGCACCGGAATCCTCCCAGTCCAACGCACCCACGGTGACGGCGCAGTCGGTAATGCTCAGTCTGGGAGACTCAAGGTAGAAATCTCTGAATAAAACTCTGCTGTTAAACAGATTAAGGACATCTCTGTACATACATACACAGCAGAGACAAGACTCTGCATTTCTCAAGAACAGAGTTCTCACAATTTTTTTTTGTTTATACAAAGTGTGACAAATCCTGCTTTTTTCCAGAAATAAAATTTTATTTTTATTGTCATTAATACCAACTTTACATACAGGTTTACCACCCCCAGACTGCATTTCCTTTGCTTTTTACTATTTTACTTTTTAAAAAAAGGCTTTTTTTCCTTCTTCCTTGGTCAAGAATAGTAAGGGAACTGTACTTTTAAATGATGTCAAATTCCTTCTCATTGGACGTGTGGTTTTGCTATTACAAAACTATTAAAATGTGGAGGAACAAGTAATATCAAAGACACACAGTAACAGCACTACTGCTTTTGGGTTGTGCTAATATACTCGAACAGAACTTGGGGCAGTTCTAAATGTCTACCATTTTAGAAATTATATTAATGAAGTAAAAGACTTCAGCATTAATATGACCCACAACAAAAAAAATGCAGCATCTGTGTCTTTCGTCAAATGCCTCAGCAGCTCAGTCTCGGGGGAAGGGGACAGCAAACCTCAGTTTGCTTGAGGCATGATGAGCTCGTAGTGCCCCACCTGCCCCTCTTGCTTCAGCTGGTCCAACAGATCCTCCTTGCGCCGCTTCCTGCTCACCACCAAGTATCTGTTGTGGCCCTGCCCGTGAGATTTACTTTTTAGACCGTACTTTTGGGCAATCTGATGGATCTGCTTCCGCTCATCCATGGTCAGTTCTCTAGAGAAAGTCAAGTCAATGTGACTTTCTGAGCGTGCATAGTTTCGAATGATCTCCTCGATGTCTCTTTTAGCGATTTTGTTCACCCTTTCTACATCAAGCCCAAGTCCTTCCCTTTTAAACTGCTCCTTCACTGAAATGGGCTCCCTGATTCCTTCCCCGTCTTTCCCTAGGCCCCCACCTGTCCAGCCCATCTTTCTTAAAATTTGATTCCCAATGTTGTCTTCTTTGATCTTCTGTTTGAAAGCCTCTTCTGCCGATCGACCCCGGATCTCATTTCTGGAGATGACGTCTTCGATGGTGCCTTTCTTCAGGTTATTGACAACGGTTGGTTGAGTCTTTTTGAGGATTTTCACAGCTTCCTCTGCTGCCTCATGCTTGACAGATTTCTTCACTCCAACTGCTTCTGCGATGAATTCGTCTTCAAGCAGCACCTTGCATTTCCACCGCATGCCGGTCATCCTTTCGAAGACGTACTCCACCGTCATCTTGTTGAACTGGGCGGTGTCGTTCAGCGTGCACACAGGATTACTGGAGTTCTCGTAGACCACGAGGTCCTTCAGGTCCTTCTTCCGGCCAGAGCCCCGCGACGAGCAGCCCACTTTCTGAACCTGAGTCACTTTGATGGCTGTGATATTTGACTGCATCTTCTGCAGAATTTTCAGTGCCTCCTCGGCCGCTGCGTGCTTGCTGGTCTTCTTAGTGCCAAATCCCTCGGCCAGGCAGTGATCTTGCAGATACACCTGACACCGCCACGAGCGGTTGGGCATTAACTCGTATTTGTACTCAACAGACATTTTGTTATACGAGGCAGAATTGTTAAGTATTCCTATCGCATCGCTGGCATTCTCTGTGAGGACAAAACTAGTCCAGTGTTTGTTGGTGTTAGCAGAACCTTTCACGGATTCAGTACCAGGCTGCATCGGGACACAGTCCCTGTTGGCAACTAAAAACTCCTCGTGAGGCTTGAGAGCAGGAGGGAAATCCGGGTGGCTCACGCCTGCCTCGCACACCACCAGGTCTTCGTGATAGGTGTGCTTGAACTTCCGCTGAATGACTCGAACTTCCACAGGCTTCTTCAGCAGCTTCACCGCCAGCTCCGCGGCACGATCCCTGGAGCCGTTTTTGCTGCCGGCGTACCCAGTGGTCAGGTAGACGTTCTGACATCGCACTTCACAAGCGAAGCCATCTGTCAGGAGCTTCTTGCTTTTGGGGAGGTCAGCGGGGGCAATTTCTTTCAGAGGAACATAAATATATTCAGGATTTGTCTTGCATGCCTGAATCGAACGCGTCAAAAGATAGGTATAGTTAATTTTATCAGTCCCACTGTTTGCATCTGGGCTAGCAAGATTTTTCCAGACGGCTGCTGACAGTTTCTCAATAAAACTCTGCTTCAGCATTATAGCTGACGGAGGGAAAGTCTCTGATGCAGACTGGACAGCTGCGGGAGAAACAGAGACCTGCAGCATGCTGCTTGTGGTCGAGTCCGTGCTGTTCACAGCCTTCTTGGCCGCTGCAGCCTGGCCTGCAAGGCCAGACCCAGCGGGGCTGGAGAGCTGGGGGTCCACCTCCCACGTGCTTGCAAAAGAATTCGTGCAGCTTTCAGCTGGCTGCACTGTGCTGTTTGTATTTGCCTCCTGGTTCACCTCCTGTGTCTGGTGATCCAGAGAGTCTTCCTTCTTGTCATCCTTCGCAGCACTGGTGACAAAGTGTATGGGTTCAAAACGCGGTCGCACCCGGAATCTGGGGACCATCTTTTTGGGCGGCTCAGGAATCTCTTCTGGCTCTGGACCTGCAGGGTGGAAGAAAATGCCAAGATTACCAACACGTGCTATGACAGGGAGACAACGTTTTCACAGAGCGATCTCCAGGAGGAGCCTGCAGGCCCTGAACACGAGATTTCCACTTTTTTGCCACAAAGCCAAAGGTTTCCTTCCAAAAACCTTCCCCATTGATCAAATAAGACCATTTGTTCTTGTGCAGGTCACTACAGCAGTATCTCCAGCTCCACCACTACCATACAAGAATCTCTACATATTTAATTGCATGGATTTGAGGCCCAAATCACTTGCTCTGCCCCATAATGTTGCCCACTGAACCTGGCCAGTCATCTCTGTGGTGAACCCACTGAAAGCTACCAAAGCAAGTGAAAACTATGGCAAATAAGACCAAACACCACAGCGGGACTAGAGCCTCAGCTCTGACTCTGCCGCAGCACTGCAGGATGACCCCAGATAAACCCCGTTATCTTCTCATTTGATGGAGCAACACACAGGGCTTAGAACTCCTTTCTAAAACACACGGGGCCGTTAATGACAGTGCTAACAGAAGCGTTATTTTCTGTAAATACAAGTACCCTTGGCACCAAACATGGAAGAATCTGCCCGGGCCTCAGGCAGCAGCTGCAGCGGCTGGGGGGCCCATGACAGATTACTGGTAGACCTCCTGGTTCTTACCCAGAAGAAATGCAAATGATGCAGATTATCCTGATATGCGCAGCTACTGCAGAAAATGAGAACCAAATCGCTGAGAAGCAAATGTGTCACATTTAAAAGGCAGTTACACAAGACCTCCTGTGGAGGATTTAGCTCCCACATGCTGAAGTGCTACGTGTGTAACTCCATCGAGGAGCACAAGGCCACCTCAGCATCCTGGAATGAGCTCCCTAATCCAATGCCAATGTGTGCAGCTGTAATACAGGTCAGGCAACACATCGATCTGGACATCACACTACGACAGTGTATTTGTTGTGGCATAGTTCACCGCAGGTGAAAAAAAACACCGCATATGGCATAAACAGGTCCTCATATTCAATCAGGTGGCAAAGTTCTTAGACGTGTTAAATTCTTCAGTCTTGATGAATTATGGCAAGGTTTACGTTTCTTGCTCAGTTTGGTATTTTGATGACAGCACTGCAGCAGCACCTAAAGGCTCCCACCAGCAGAACAGCTCTTTATGCTGCCTGTAACAGGCAACAGGGAACCCTTCCCCTCAGAGCTGCTGCCTGAGACAGACAAAACATGGGAGAAAAGCAGTATTCTTCTCAGTTCTGCAGCCAGCTCACAGAAGCACAGAAACATTGCTGGGTGTCACAGCAAGGGAAGAAACTTTGGCAGAGCTGGGGATTATATCCAAGCTTAGAGGAGTCCTGTGCTGTCCAACCATTTGTGCTTCCACAGCCTGTGCCTGCACGCAGGAACGATTCCCCCTCCCTACCTCCCTCCAGAGAGAGCACAGCAAGCTCTGAAGGCGCTGGAGACGCTGCGCTGCCAGCCAGAGCTGCTGCATTTCCTGCACTGGAAGAGCTACAGCTGGAACGTCAATCCCTGAGACCGTGGCCTGGGCTGACACAGGCTTAGTTCTGTTCACTCTTCCAGGCCCAGTAGGGAGGAAAGAAACCATTAAAACTAACCCCCTTCCCTGCCAAGCACCCAATGCTCCAGGTAGGTCGTAACTCACAATCAGTGAGTTGAACTCCACACCTCCACGGAACAACACCCCTCACCACGGTGAGGAAGGGCAGACAGATCCTTCGTTGCATGCATTCAATTCCCTAACACTATCACTACGGAAAATCGATTGCCTGATAATTTAAATGAAAAACTGTATTTTCTTAAGCAAAAAGAGAACTCTGCATGAATTATGTATACGCCACAACGTGGCAGAGGAGGGGAAAACGGCTGCAGCCCAGCAGAGCACATCACAGGCGCTTCTCTTCCATTTGCTGCACGGGCTCTCTCAGGGGCAGCCCCGTGGTGCTCTGCTCTCCCCACGCTCCCACTAATGCCCACCCAGCAGCGCCAGCGAAGGGCACACAGGCGGATATACTCACTGTCGGACGGAGAACGGTGTCTTTTTAGCTTCCTGCTAGGGACCAACTCGTACGTCCGCATTTCCCCGATGTCGATCCCTTCAGCCATCTTGAGAACCTTCTCCATGACCTGCGAGCCGTATCTGCGTGGATTTAACAGCAAACCACTTTAGAACTGGTCCCACAGAGACAACACACACACGTGCACACACAAGCTTTTATTATGCAAAACAAGAACTAAAGCTACCTGAGACACAGGACCTGGTGCAAGGGAAGACAAACTACCTGGCTCTAAGTGAACCCACTTGCGAGTAACAAACCATGCAGACACCAAGCGGACGGTGCTTTAAATGTAAATGTAAATACATTATCTGTCAAGATACAGCATTTGGCAGAGCTCCTAGGAACACTGAGGAGCACAGGGATGTGGAGAAGCAGAAGTCTCCCTGCGCACTGCAGCTTCAGTGAGCTACGCGCAGGAGCGACCGACGGCACCGAAGCCTTGTCTGGGTCAGCAGCTGCAGACCGTACGTCACCAGCACTGAAATCGCGGCTGTGAGATGACAAAGGCACTGCTCAGCCTGTACCGACCACTCTTTAAAAAGCCATACTCATTTCTAGCTTGGCTGGAACGTCTTAAATCAGACAGAGGTGCTGTGGCTGGCACGGGCGCTGCGCAAGCCCTGGCCCTGCGGCGTGCTCAGCCCCGCGCGGGCAGGACATGCGCTGCACCAGCCCACCCCTCCTGACCTTACACCCCCGACCGTGCCCGTTTTCCAGTGCTCCAGGGATCCGTCACATGTTTTCATCCACCTGCATGGCTGAAGCTGAACAAGAAAAAAACCCCAAACCTTTCTAACCAAGAACAACCTATAAACACAGCCTTAAAAGTGGCCTCCGACAGCTTTGCACTGTGGTTCAGGAAGAAGAAAAAGCAATCCTGCACCTGTTGAATGCTGTGCTCATCTTCAGAAGTCAAAAAGCATCAGGACACTGCCCGTGGGCAGGAGTCCACAACTGTCCCAACAGCTGGTCCTGCAATAGCTTGCACCAGCTTTTAAATACCAGTGCTCCAAGGGCTCTGGAAGTCTGCTCACTCTCCACCCAAGGAATGCCCTCCTGTTCCCGACTGAGAGGGCCAGGCAGAAACCAGATCCATTTACGCTACTGGGCAAGAACCCGAACACACGCTGCTATGGTCCCTGCTGCACCTGCGGGTCCCTGGTTCGTGTTTACTCTGACAAACGTGTTGTCTTCAGCCAGCAAGTGATCAATGTTTAAAAAAAATCCCAAACCAACAACAAAACCTGAACGCCAAACTAAAACCCAACAGGCTTAAGAGACAACAACAAAAATCCCCCAAACTTTGAAGTTATTCACTTGATACAGCAACAACAGCTCCTTCCAAGCAGCAAAAGGCAGTTCCAGAGAAAGCTGCGGGTCCCCTCCCTTCCCCAGACAATTTTAAGTAAAGCTGCAACCACTCTTTAACAGCGCAGCCTGTTCACTGTGCCCATTTGTGCACAACACGAGCTTTGGGGAAACATCCTCACTGATAATGGCTCTCTGCACTGCATCACGCCTAAGTCTGCTGCTCATGTCTCCCCTGAGAGCTGCAGGTAGAGATGTTCATCAGGAAAAGAATGCACACTTACAGGCTTAAATTGCATCATCTTTTAGGATTTGAGATTTTGCCACGTAGTTCCTCACTGTTGTTATCAGCACCCTATAACCATATTGCATTGGTTCCCAAAAGCACTATCACAAACAAGGGCCTCCATTAAGACAGCACATAAACACATTGAGATGAGCTAATGTGCCAAAGAGACTATGCCCAGTTTTAACATACTCAAGTTTTGGTATTCAAAGCTGTTTTCAAACTGTTAGATTTTGGTACTTGCAGAGCAGAACAGCTTGGACCAGAAAGAAATAAAGAAACATCTACATCTCCATTTAAAGACACTGACATGGCTCTGTACAAATGACAAAAAATATGACCCAACAAGGCTTTGGGACAGCAACACTAATAAGAGTCAAACTGTACGCCCGTCAGTGCTTACAAGCTCCCGTCACTGCACAGTCTGCTGAAGTTAGTTGTTAAGCAGTTGCTTCTGTCCTTAAAGCCTTACGGCCAGTTAAAAATAATCACAACATCGAAAGTGCCAGTCGGGACGCGAGTGACATTCCTGCAGATCCCCACAACCTCACTAGCTGTGGCACAGCGGTGTCTGCACGTCAACAGCAACTCCGACGAAGGGAAACCTCTTCCACTCACTGGGTCTATTTCTTCCAGAAAAACTGAGGAGGTTCAGGAGGATTGTACGGGCTATGTTATGCTTACAGGGACACTTTCTTCCCACTTAAATCGCAGAGCACAACACCACATGCTTAACATCCACGGAGGCGGGACACCAAAAACTTGTTTCAAAGCACAGATGCTTTTCCAGCAGCTTGCTCCCCTCCACGCACAAACATCGGCACATTGGAGCAACAAAACTGCCCAGGAACCGAGGGTCCCCTGCACCGCCCCCTTCCACCTCAGTTCCCCTGGGGCCGCGTTTTACCTGGCAGCTGGGACCGAGGCTCAGCCAAGCAGCACTGCCCAGGGCGGGAGCCCAGAGAGCGGGCAGCCCGACCCCGCTCCAGGCAACGGCTTCAAAGTCCTACCCCGACTCCTGCCCGCAGCC